CTATCAAATGTGGAGTTGTTCAGAGGAAACTTTTTTGGAGGATCATTCCTGAGAGTATGGGCCAGGTGATCCAAGTCGGGGCTCGGTGACTTTGCGTGCGTCATATGCACTACGAGCACATTAAATAGGAATCACGCTGTCGTGCGCATTAACTAAGTTTTTGCCTACAGGATTCCTTTACCCGAATCCCTGCAAGAACGCACTGTATTTTTCGTATTCGCAGCGTTCCACTAGGTTGTAGACAACTGTTGTACATAACTGGAAATACTTTGCCATATGTTTTTATATTTATCCGTATGTCGGTCATTTTATCATGCTACTGCAGTGAAATTATTAAAGGGCGGAAGTGGTGTAGTGGCAAGTGGCACGCTTACCACGCGAGCGGTCCGGGGATCAAATCCTGGGTCGTGAGTCGCCCGGGCCAACCAAGCCTTCCATCCCTCCGGGGTCGGTTAATTGGTACCAGACTTGTCTGGGAGGATAAAAACACTGACTTGTACATCGGCTGGCCCCCGCAAGTCATTGTATAGGCCACATCGCATTCAAACGCCTACGAATGTACAAATGGAAGTAGAATGCGTGCCGCATCCCAAAAAGGGATTGATCAACGGCAAATGCTTTATCCTTTTTTTTACTGCAGTTTTGAAGTTCGGATCCGGTGACTTTTAGGAAAAACGACCTCATCACGATAATATGCGAGAAGGACGAGCATTGTTGGGTTGGTGAAGTGAACGGACTTCGTGGATGGTTTCCGGCGAAATTCGTCGAGGTGACCTGATTTTTTATATAAAATATTTTCTCTGGGTGCAAAAAATTGAAACAGAGTTGGAATTGTAAATGAAGTTCTCCGGAGAATGATCCGTTATGAGGCTCTATTATGGTCAATTCAGGCCCTTCTACAGGCCTTTTTCAGCACTAGTTGTCGTAACTGCTCAGTTGTACGGGCTTGTTCTTGAGGAGTTCTAACTTCAGAAGTTGTAAGTTAGAGGAGTCATTTTGCTTACTTCAGGTCGTTGACGAGCGAGGCAAGAACTACACTGTGTATGGCGACGAGGCAGTATCACCCGAAATCACTGAGTATATTCGAGGTGATTTTTGCGTACGACTTTTTTTCCCATTTCCTTGTCTTTCAATTTTTGTGTTGTGTTATGGTAACTCTCAAAGTGTCCCAATAATTTTGTTATTAAAGGCCGATTAGCCAATAGCTTCCGACAGGTCATGGATCATGGAATTATGGAAAGTGTTCTGTATCCATCTACAGCCTATCATCCTTGGTCTTTCATAGGTTAGCTTGTGGCAATTACCAAAATTTTTTTTTCAAACAGTTGTATCAATTTGCCTTTACTGAATCTTTTCCTTCTACATTTTTACTTACACATTTTTATTTTTTAGAAGACATCGCTTACTTACTCTGTGGAGAAGCACTTCAATTCTGTGTACTCTCGTCTGACCCTATGCAACACCTTCAAACTGGATCAGGATGGCAAAGTATGTGTAATATTGGTTACGCTGCTACTAATCAGTTAAGGGCAATGAGTGCAGAGCTAAGGAGGCGGAGCTGCTTCGGAGACGTCATTGGCTGAAGGGCCTTTGGAGGCGGTCCGACCACTCAACCTACGCTCTGAGAGGCGTGGTGACCAATAACGATTAGAAACCAGCTCCGCCTATCTTCGCATTTACTGGTCTTGATGGAACTAATACCATATTAACCAAGTGCAGGTATCCCTATTTTACAGATACTTACACCAGAGGAGCTATTGTTCCGATCCGTTCAGCTCATCAATGACTCCCACAATGCTGCCAACGCTCATCCAGACGTGAAGCTGAGGTGATTATCGGTTACAAAACCTTCATCGTTGAGAAATAGTTATGATATATGATCTGTTAAGATCATTGCTGGTACTTGGCGTCAACGAGCAATGTTTACATCTGTGGTTCGACTTGTTATGCTCATCAGAAAATCAAGAAGCAATACGTTGTAAATACTATCATCCATGGGCCTTTATACGTACTCCAGCATGGCGACAGGTCAGTTCTCGTCACTACGGAGTTGTTTTCACGTTCGCTTTTTTCACTTCACGTCACAAATTCGACCGCAGAAGTCCAAAAGGTTTGCCATGGCTCTCATCTACACTGCGACGCATAATTATAGTTCCACCTACGATCTTCATTACCCGGATGGATATCATTTTCTCACGATACGGCGCTTATCTCAGTCGGATAGTGAGCAGGGTTATTCCCATATCCTGTAGCAAATTTGATTTGAAATTTGATGAATTTGAGAAATTTGTTCGTTATGAAGTCACCCCGACAAATTCCAGCGGAGCTGACACTTTGACAATTCCTGCGTCTCTTTTGCTAGGATTTCCCTTTTACGGAAGTGTGACAGCGGTTTTGCCTTTGCTATAAGCTAAGGAACTTGAATGGATAATAATTCCAAATTTTGATTGGGTAAAAGCAAAATGCAGCGGAGAAGCTAAAGCGGATATTTTCGAAAAAATAAGGATAAAAAATTGTTGCTTTCTCAAACTGGATTTCCGTGTTAATATTCAGATTCGCGTTTATATGTGTCACAATTTATCTGTAGAGCCTTTTCCAAAAACATCCCCAGATTCAAGTTTTTGGGAAATTTGTAGGTGGAACTATAATTATGCGTCGCAGTGTACATATAGCACCATCGAGACTTAGTAGCTCATATATATCCTCCCACTCCACTTTCACCCTTATCACCTCGAATTTCGTGTGATTGAACGAATTCTATGTCGTCGAGGAGTCTTCTTGAACCCTAGAATCAGCATTCCGAGATCTCTCTTTTCGTCTCCTTACTTGGGCCGATGTCATGATTTGCGAATCGAGCGATGCGCTAGCGTCCGCGGTCGCGTCGCGTACAGTGAATGGCTTCGCAAAGTCTGACATCGGCCTCAATCCCATAGGGCCTCTGACCTTTTTTTGGAAAAGCTTTCGTAAGACATAGCGCATTGCGGTGGCAATGCATTTAGAACCACGAAGAACCTTTCCTTTTTGTTAATATCGGGACTAAGCATCAGGGGAAGGTGGAGAGACTTGGGGCATGTGAGCTTTTTTCATTTCTCTGGAAGTTGCTTCCCCCTGCTAGACGTGGTCTTAGAGGATGTCCCGTATCTTGCAATAGCGCTCAGAAAATCCTATAGATGGGTAATGGTAGGAAGTGCCTCTACTCACAGCATTTCAGATAAAGTGCGATTTGAGACTCCTGAGCCAGTTCTCGTTCAATCTCAGTGTCGACTTCGAGATTGAAGGAATTGAGAAGAAAAAGAAGAAGGCCGGTGCAGGAGTAAGTTCATTTGTGTTGCTTGGGCACTGAAGTAGTGCTATCTTGAGGAATTTTGCCATTTTGACTTCAGTTTACGGGCAATTGCAAAATGAACTCGAATGAATTTTTTGTCCTTCCCCTTCAATAGTTTTAGGTGTATTTTTTCCTACACTTGATTGTTTTTCTCTGATAAAAATCTTATTCTAGATGATGTCAAGTGCCAAAAAGAAGATGCTGTCCACAGTGATGGCGGGTGAATTGAAACCGAATGGTGAAGAACCGCTGAAGAAAGGTGTGACGGATATGCTCATCAAGCATCATTTGTTCAGTTGGGATTTATGAGCACGCGTTCAACAGTACCCTCTCTACCTTTACCCATAACTTATCGTTGTTGAGCTGATATGTTGCTGAGAGGCTAATCATTCTCGATGTTCCGTTTTCCGGTTTCTCTGAAATATTGTTATCTCCGCTCAAAACTGCTTTGGACCCTCGCAGAGTTCGTATATCGTTTGCAGTAAACACACCTTCTCTCATCGATATCTAGTCTGTATTATGCCATCTAGTCCCTACTGGTTCACTACTTATCATCAGCATGATCTTCTACCGGCGTCCGATGTTCGGAATCTTATAATTTATTTCTCAATAAGTCAAATAACTCTTCTCTAAGTCCTATACCCTGCCGTAAAGACACGGAAAGAGCTGGTATCGATGTGTTGTAGATATGATTTCTTTCTTTTAGAGCTGATGCTAAAGGCAATGATCGCATCTAGGCAGCGAGTTAGTGGAGGAAGTGTCTTTTATGAGCGAATCTTCCTAGGAGAAGTAATAATACCGCAATGTAGGCGTGAACCTAAATAACACGGGTAGTTACCAAACCAGGCGTGTTTTCTTGTGCCATGAAGTAGGTGCACAGATTGATTCAATTGTTCGATATCTGTATCCCCATAGTCCCCGTGTTATTTCGAGTTAAATTACGGTGGCTGCTAATGGGTGTAGTGCAGGAAAGCCACCGTGCGACGAAGGGTAGGGACGCAGGGGCATTGCTGGCTAGTTGTCTGGTCTGAGTAGTGTTTCACCGTCCATTTTTTCGACTGTGGTTGATTGCGTCCAATATCGTTCAATCTACCACGAAAACTCAAAAACTCGACTTTTCAACGAAAAATTGCAACTTCCTTCGCATAGAACATGAAGGAGGCAAGAGGAGAAATGAGAATTCGTTATTCAAAATGTGGGCAGGGGCGCTTTTGACTGAACACGTTCCTTGCCAGTTTCTTCCACAGTTAACGTCGAGCGTAAAACACCGCGTGCTGCAATCGTCGTAAGATAGGCCTTTTGCGTTACACCCCTGTTAACGGGCCTACAGGGCCGTTCATACCGCTAGACAGGCTGGTGTTAGAGTCGGGTGATCCGTCGCGCGATTCGCGCGAGTCGCGAAAATTGCGTGCATTAGCATTTGAAACGCTGAATATGAAACAAGTATAATCATGATAGTCGTCATTCAACCATTACCATCGAGCAGAAATGGCGGCAGGATTGGAGAGCACCTCGCAGCATTGATCAGGGCGTGGTTAGCGCGAATCGCACGACGGATCGCGGACTCTGACACCAGCCATAGCCGTCTGGAGTCCCCCAAGGCGCTGCGACTTCGCAGTCTGTGTGATCTCTGCCTTGAACGGTTTTAACGGAGCGCGCTTCCACGTGGAGTATATTATTTCTCAGCTGCAGTGTTCGGGTCTGACTATGTTCCACATAATTGAGCTTTTCATTCTAACTGATCATCTATATGTGAGACGGCAACGAATGTGAAAAAGATTTTTATTGTGTGGTTCGAAACCTCGCCTCATAAAGCATAAAACTCTTCCAGTGTTAATCAAATATACATATAAAGTTAGAGAAATAGCTTTACAAAGGCGGACAAAGAATTGTATGATATGGAATGAACGTTTGCCTACGACGAAGTGAGTGTACCAGTAGTGTGTTAAGAACCGGGCTAACTTCTCCGAACGCACCTGCCGTAGCGCGTGCCTGCTTGAGCTTAATATGGCTACTGCCTTAAATAACGAAAGAGACGGTATTTACACATGCTTTTAGGCCTCATTGTCGTGGTTTAGATCCTGCACTCATCGATGCACACAGTCCGATGAACAGGCGTAATCCTATGATGGCGCATCTCACCATTTGGCCCCATGCGATTTAAGCCGATCACGAACTGAAATTCGGGTTTTAGCGTCACTTCTTTTGGAACAAAATGTCCTCTCACCTGCCAAGGCTGACATCCCAAAAGTGAACTATCATAGGGGTACTCGACAGAATTCACTGGCCTTGAAAACGTCACCGATACCGTATCGCCGTCCATTCGGCTACTGTGCACCATAACGTTATTGATCTGAACGAAAAGCTTGTCAAATCGCAGTAAATATGGAATTTGCACCCAAAGATTATAACTTTTCAGGGTAAAATGCGAGGACACTACCCCCTACAATGCGTTTGCTCCCAGAACGTGTGCAATGCGCGTATGCGGCTCGCACGCAGCCATGTCCATCAGGTCCCCCACTTCGGCGCGCAAATTTGCCGCACGCGGCGGCGGAATCGATAGTATTGCCGCACATGCTATGCCCAGGAACAAAAATCTACAATTCAAAAGAATTGGATGCTCCATTCCTTGGCCAACTGGAGGCGATTTCTGTTTCGCGCTCTGTGCTAGCAGCTAGCTACTGCGTGGTCGAAATTGGACCTACAGGCAACCGCTCTTTCTTCTCTCTGCAGTCGTCATCCCAATTGTGAGCATGAAGAGAAGGTTATTTCAGCGGAAGACTAACCGAGAATGGCGCGAGGTGGTTTGTCAAGGTTACCAATTGTATCCCAGTTTCCACAAGGAGCGTCAATTACTTACTCGAGTAACAATTAAGCCTTGTCTTCACACGGGTTACGTGCAGGTTATCAACCCGCGCAGACCAAATAGCTGTATTCTTCCAGTTTTTGTGCAAAACCGACTGGCTGGCTTGCTGGTCTATCGAGGTAGACAATAGATTACAACCAGCCACGCGCCAGGGCAACACGCCAAGTGATCATTAATGTCAATAAACGCTCGTTTATGTTATTCTTAACGCAAAAACCACCATCGACCATCAATCACTCCACAACGTCAATTACGGTCTGATCGCATGTTGCGAATTCGGGTGTGGAACGAAGTGGGAACGACGGTGACCGATATGAAAGGGCGCCCTTGAAACTCTGTGATGTCAGAACGTTAGCCATACGGGATGGTTCTTGCTCCCACTATATTACACTACTCAGAAGTGACCTGCCTGATTTATTGATGAAAATGTTTTCGATCTTCTCAGCAAAACAGCAAAATCCAGAGGCTTTAACAAAGCCCCCTACCACTCGTTGAATAATGCGCTCGCTTCACTTCAAGACCGAATATGCCCACTGGTGTCAACTCTGCCAACGTATCCGCTTACCACTTACCAGAAAATTTAACAAAAATTGCTAGGCAAATTTTTTACTAATCGGAGGTAGTTTTCGTTGAAAAGTGGAGCCTAATTTTGTTGATGAATATCCAAACGACTTGGAACTGAAACTTCAGTGATTACCATACTTACTGGGGGAGGGTAATGACTAATTTTCTACAGCAAGTTAGGCAGGTGTCAGAGTCCGCGATCGGCTGCGTGAATCGCAAAAATTGCAAGCGCCTCGTTTGAACATTTAAAAGTTAGAATAGGAAACAAGTAGAATCATGAATAGTTGTCACTCAACCTCATCATCAAACAGAAATAGGGTTGGAGAGCACTTGCAATATTGATCCGGAAATTTGCGATTTCCTGTGATCCGTCGCGCAATTCGCGTAATCGCGCGGCGTGTCGCAGACTCTGACATCAGCCTTGCTGCTTTCTCTGCACAGTATAAATGCTCACCATGTCTGGGGTAGATGCAGCGTAGCCACGAACGTACTCATCGGTTACTCTCACTTGGCCATTGGCGACTCGAATGACAATAGTGTCAATACCATCGATCTGAAATGTGATTTCAATGAGCTCTACAAGACATTTGAAAAATGCTAAGTTACCGATAATCTCTACCGATACTGATATATTAGCGCACTTGCCCGGTAAGCAAGAGGTGCCGGTTTGAGTCCCGTCTGGGCGAAAGTTTTGTTCACAACCCAGCATTCTTGTGAAACATTCGCAAGGCGAACTGCGGCAAAAACAGCAGTTGAACATTCAAAAACAAGTCAAAATTATCTACTATGTTTCGATGCGGAAAATGGATGCGTAGCACATATTTTCAGCCTCTTATTATCTGTCTTACACCTCACTCTGACCCCATTCCTTCTTCACGTGTTACTCATTCACATATCACACTCCTTCAGATCCGTACCACGTTCAACCTATTGTTGAATATGCATTCATGATAATAGAAAAAAGTTTGAAGAAAATTTATGGAAAAATTAAGGAAGCCAATGAGTTGGGAGCTAGGTCCAGTGTTGAAATTGTCGTATTTCAAAACTCTCCCATAGGTTGGGATTTTCCAAGAGGAAAAATAATTCCAATCATTACGGATAAATCGCGAGACGATGAATTTAGATGTAGACCTTGATTACGGTTCCCAGAGGGAGGAAGAATTGGGATGGGACTTAAGAAACTACTCCTAGCCATTTCGATAGGGACTTGGTGATAGCACAGTATCCCACAATTTTGAAGGAAGGCGGAATTAAAGCGGAGGAGCGAGGACTTTGACTCGAGTTGAGGACGTGCTGGAGACAGTCCTCAACTCTAGTTAGAGCAACTCTTAATGAATCCAGTTGGCACTGCACAGTTCCTAGTGTTCGTGGGCGATTTTTTTTAGCTTAGGGTCAAAGAGCCTGTCCTATGACGTAAAGTTGAAAGTCCAGGTAAGCAGCTCCCCTAGTTTAAACCTCCAGAAGGCAACCCCTAGAGCGAACTTGCTCTAGATAGCAACATTTCCATTACCCGCAGAGCGCCTCAAAGACTCATTTGTCATGCGCTAAACAAACGAAACTTTGAGACGGCATGCAGTCTCTGTTACGATATTCTAAAGGTCGAGTGGTTTCCTTCAGTTCGGTTATTAATGACATCGCGCTGCCGTCGGTGAGAGTTGCCGTCTCGGTCCGTTCTCTCTAGTCTTTCTCTTTTCCATCTACCGTAGTCGAAAAAAATTTCTCAAGACTGTCTCTCTCACAGCGATTTTTCTGAATTGAAGAGCGGTTCCACCATGATCCATAACTGTTTGGATCTTCACATCAAACTGGTAGCGCTCAAAAACTTCAAACTCTTGTGCCGCCCCTCCCCCTTCTTCCAGTAGACCTCTTCCCGGAGCGCCAAACTCGTTCTCACCCTTTGTTTCACTTTATCAACAGTCTGTACTCTTGGAAGCCAAAGGTTGGCTTAGTAACAACGGAGGCCAGGTAGACAAAAACTCTAGAAAATGTCTGTGACTGGTTCGCTATGGGTGAAGCACAAAAAAGGGCTCTAGAGGAAGGTCAGTTCTGCAGCACTCATCCAGAGGACTCGCTCAGATTTTTTGGTACCACCTTCTTGTGATACCTTTCTGGCCGGTGGGGTGTTGACAGATAACTTCACTGTGTCATCTTAAGGCTTACAGAGAAGTTAGGGACAAGGGGAAACTGAGCAACTAGAGATGACGTCTTCACTCACTATGACCAGGGGTTGGCTTCTTCTTCTTGCCAAGGCCACAGCTGATTCGAAATTGCAAGATCACTCCAGTACCAGGGCCACATCCAGGTCAATAGCCGAGTGTCACAAAATAATAGATAAAAGTCGTAAAAAAATACAAGGTGTAGTAATGACATAAGTGATAAAATTAATGGTAAGAAAGCAAAGGTATGGTTAAAAAATGCTGATGGTTATAGATTGAGAGAGCTTGGCTTTGGAGGGTACATTTAGCAGATTCGAGAGTGCATGGAACTGGGATAAAGAACTCCTGCAACGTCCACGAAGACATCTTGTAATGAAAGAAGTGAGCCTACACACTCCGTTCTTGAACAAGGGTTTATGAGGACCATTTTACTAGTTTTCAAGCGATGGTGAAAAGAACTTTTGACAACCTCAGTCAGAATCGCAATCGTGTCCTATCACTTAAAGAAGAGGTGGTTCCCTACGTTTTAGAGTCCTCCTAGAAGTCATCGGTCGCAGCTGAAGCACAGGGCCCTTAATTGTCGGCTTCTTCTCAAAGTAATCTTTACATTTTATTTATTTTTTATTTACAGTTCAATCATGACCATGAGAAATCATGGATAAATGAACCCGGGGTGGCACTTGCATAATTGCGGGTTTTTCCTAGCTTCGCGAAACGTCGCTGTAACCACATCAACTTGATGGCGACCTTTTGTACCAGTGATAAGTTTCGATCTTACGACACATGGGCATTACGGCATAACCACAAAGATTTAATGAGTTAGGGAAGGTGGGGGAGGAATCGTCGAAATAGATGTTCTTCTGTGAAAGGGAGGCCCCCAATAGTAGTATTAAACCGCAGAATTTTCCTCGAGATCGGGGCACCAGAGTTCCTATTGATTGTGCCTTTTGAGCACAGATCCCAACATAGCTGTAGATCCGACATGAACATTTAAAGTAATAATCAATTTTTATCACACCTTCATTACTTGTGAATACAACGAAGACGTTAGGCTACGTTACCTTAAAGGAGGAATTCACGATTAGAATGAAGGTCGAAGAAAGGGAAACTGACCTAGTTGAGGGACCCACGGACCTCCTGAGGGTGCGAACTGACGCGCAATTCGCATGAAAAATTTGACCTCGGCGACCTATCATGCCTCAAAGCTGGCGGGTCCGGCGATCTCCGCCCACCGATCATCTGATCACTCGCCGTAGTTCAATACGTGGCGAGTGATTAGATAGCTGAGAGAGCGTAGTGTTGAAGAGGGCACAGCGATGAGAGTCGCATCAATGCTCAAATCAACGGGCAAGGAAGGGGTCCCATTTCTCGGGTTCTGGGCCGTTTCTCATGGTTCTTCCTTCTTTCGTGTACCACTCACCATCCCTAGGTTAATTTGAAATGGGTTGCTTTTTCATCGTGAATTCGTCCTTTAAAGGCTGCAACTGAAGGGGTGATGTTATCGAGCCCCCTTCCCCTCTGACCCTTTTCACCATCCACTACCATTGTGAATATGGAGTCACGGGTATTTCGCAGATTTCACAAAATATAACGCATTTTAATCCATGCCGGTCTTCCCTTGACGTCCGTGGTGCTTCCCTCTTAGGCATTATTTCTTAACTGGTATACATGAACCAGTTGTATCTATTGCTGCAGTTAATTGTGACCGTTCGAGAGGTAATCGAGACTCTCACAAACCGTTCCGGAAAACTGAAACTTCTTAACATTTCTTTCAGAGATTCTGTGGGTCTCCACGGTATAAAACCTTGTCCTCAATAGAATGTGACTGAATTCAGAACAGCGAATTAAGACTTCTACAAGTTTTACAACCACGTTTCTTCCAGCGGCTCCACCGAAATCGCCAACACCAGAAATCAGCTATTTTCTTTTTCTTCAACAGAGACACGGCTCGGCTAGGGTTGGTGCGTGAACACCTATTGATGGTAAGGCTGCAAAAACGACTGCTAGTTGTCTCCTAAGGTCTGAGAAGGCCGAAAGATAGGCAATTCTCTTGCGAGCAAAATCGTTAGCGGACGGAGGGACTGAAGACCTACGCGACCGGATTAGAATTTGCTTTCGGAACCTTTACAGTGGCCCTTCAGATTCTCTGTCGACAGAGAGCAATCACTAGTACATCTGGAGTGGTTGAGCTTCCAAATCACTTGAGGTCATTAATTATCTTCCGTAGTGAAGCTCTTACGGACAAATAGGCTCTTAGCAATTGTTGGCAAAAGCATAAACATTCTGCACGAACGAACCATTCCTCTTCCGAATCCAATACCAGTCCATCCCGATGCTGAATATGGAACTCCATGAAGGATCACGCGAAAATGCACTATACCATTTCGAATTCCATATATCACCTGGTTGGGCCCTTCACGGAATATGCACGGATCAGCGACGGCACCTACAAGTACAGTATACTAGTGAAAAAAGTACGGAAACATGTTTGTGAAATATTATAAATATCCCATGGAACAGTTTGATGCTTGAAAATATTGACTGCAAAAGCGATTATTTTTTAACTGTAAAACCGTGGTTCGTCTTCAGACTGACTTATAACTCGCCACATCTGTTCAATTCAATGCGAAAAAAGGCCAAACGCTAACAAGGGGGGGGGGAGCTTTCGGGACATGGGGCGCTTTTTCGAAATAGTTTTCCACATGTTGGAGGAGGGGCGGGGATGGGGAGGGCTGTAAGCCCAAGGATGCGCTATAGGTTTCACTCGCTACCATGGATCCCAATTGTGAATCGGTCTTTCGCTTAGCTGTTACCAGGGATGAGGGTTTTTTGGCCTCGTTGAGAGTTCCTTCCCTTTTCTTCGTTGCTGACGTTACACTCACCACTGTCACTTACAGCAAAATAACAGTTGGAATGCGTAACTGGTAGCGCACTTGCCCGGAAAGCGAGAGGTGCGGGTTCTAGTCCCGCCTGGGGCGAAAGTTTTGTTCACAACCCAGCATTCTTGTGAAATTATTAGATCAATTTCATCACAGACTTTGCATTCGAGCAGAGGGAGCAGAAACCCATTCAAGCAGGCTCAGGATTAACTTCTATAGGGAATCATATCAGGTATAATAATTTTCGGACTTAACCTTCTTCCTGTAATTTGAGAGTTCACATAAACAAATCAGGTCGCACAAGTTTGCTGGAATTTTGGTCGAAACCTGCTCCCGAATGTCGTTAATTAAAAATGTCTGAAGTGAAACCTTATCATAACATCGACTTATTTTGGCTGAAAGAGATTGATGCGAAGGCCAGGCGTTGTTGAGTTATAAAAACAGATAGCACGAGAAACCTTTAGAATTTTTATCAAAGCCATCGAGCTGAAAAAGGCCTTAAGCTGAAGTCGCCACAAAAGGAATGCTCAAAATAGTACTGGTAGTATCACTTCGGGCCACAACTTGAAACAGAAAAATTTAATTTTGCAATGACTGAACTCAAAATATGTGAAAAATTGCCATTCCGAGCCGATACCAACCTAATAGCCCTTAATGTAGTTGCAAACGCTATTCGGGTAAAGGTTTTCAAGTGACCGTCTATCAAATATTCTACATCGTTAAAGGATACTGAAAAAGTTAGCCCAATGGGAGCGAGTGGTGACCAGTCGGACCGAGGAGCTTCTTTTAATTCCGATGTTTCAAGGATTTACTTGCTCCACCTAAGGTGCGTTACGGTGGCTTAAGCTGTGACTCGGGAACTGAAATAGACAGTTCTTTCATAGTGCACTATGATTACCCTTATGTTTTTCAGCCCTAGAACATGGCTCCTTTAGAAACGCTGCTACCTCTACACCTCCACCAATAGTTTTTTTTATGTATCAGGTTAGGGTGGTTTCACTATGAAAAGTGATGTATATAAAGAATTTCCATTCCCAAGGCGAAAATTTTCCATGAACACTGCAAGATGCTTTCAAGTCATGCACCTCTCCATCTTCCCGCTGCATTCCCCGTTGAAATTTCGAAGAAAAATCGGCTAACAGAAAATAAAATGGTTACGATGCACTCACTAGAAATGGAGTAAATTGCGATAAGCAGTAGAACTGAAGTCGCTGATGGTGCCATTCGTCAAGTCGGGAGGCGGTATGGACGGTACGACCAGTGATACGGCTCCTTTTAGCGCCATGCCGTATGCCTCCGCCCCTTGACGGCCGTTGTCCCTCCCCTGTTCTCTGTTACAACTAGAAGACGACGACCGTGTGACGTCGAAAAAAATCGTATCATTGTCGAGAATCACTCTTGTTGCTGACGTCGTGTGCATTTGCAGAAGCATTTACTTCCAAAAAGTTGGAGAAATTACTGCGACCAGTCACCCGCGACGATGGCTACTCTCCACGACACCGAGACGAGAAACGTGTTCCGATACGAGTGCAGTGTAACTTGTAGCTGAGTATTGACCATCTTGCGGCCACTCAACAAGTCATCGTCACTACGTATTCCTTGTATAGGTTGCTTCAAGTAGCTCTTACAGAGACATTGACCCTGTTTCACCTCTCTGAGGGAGGAGCAGCGAGCAGAACGAATACAAAAATTTCTAGGGGATTTCCCCTTCCTCTGGAATGATTGGTTTACCGCAAGAAGCGGGGGAGGGGAAACTTTTTGACGAAGTCCACAACTGTCACACTACTTTCAGGAAGAGTGCGCAGGATGGTAAAACACTGCATTTCGGAGGCTCTTCCTTCTCCTCACCGCCCACTCTCATGGTCCCAATTTTGGAGAAAATTTTTGCGCGGCGTTGGAGTGTGTCATAATGTTTCAAATACTTTAAAAACAATAGAGGTGTGAGGTGTAGAAAAGGTTTTTCGGAGGTAGAGGGAGGGGGAGGAAACGTAAGGAGGAACGCGGGTTTGTCCGATACCGAAATTTCTCCGAACTTGAAGTTTAACTTTACGGGCGGTGCTTCCGGAGTGGGGAGGAGGAGAAGAGATGTTACAGGGCCATTAACAATAAGTGAGCAGTAGAGGGTCACATCGAAACCCGAGAAAAAAGAGAGGATTATAGCGAACAAAAAAATATACATCTAAGACTCATCTCCCATTTTTATTGCTCATTCAACATTCTTTCTTTTTCAGATATTGACAAAAGCAAAACCAAAAAAATGGGAAAAAAGTTGAGATTCCGTCAAAAATAACATTATGTTACATCCAGCTTTGTTATATTCCCTGTTTTTTCTTTTCGAAAAATATCTATTCGCTCCAAAGTTACAATTTTTTCATTTTCTACCAAGAACTTGCTACCTCAATGAAGAGTGGTAGGTACCGTGAAATCACCATTCGTTTGAACTCTTTCGTCCAAGCAGACTACCACGGTCCTTGCTTTGGTTGGGCCTCTCTTACCCAACAAATGAATGCTGCGTAGAAATCCAGGGATGTGAACAACTTTCAGTGGCATTCGCTTTCATGTCTTATCTCACACTTCTCTTGAGTTGATATGTGGACGTAGCCGGAAACAAACTGGGCTATCGGGCATAAATCTTGTTGTCACGATTTTGTAAAGTCACCTTGAGATGTATGAACTGCCTTTGATAGCGAGTATCGAGCGCCGATCTCAAAGGTATCTGGAAGACGGCTCTATAGTAATAAAGATCTCCATTCCAAAGCAGTGTTCAGCGATAAAATTCGAAGAAAATTACAATGGGCAGATTTTCCAACAATAGCTGAAGTCACCATCTTTTTTGCACTCGTTGTAATGCCTGGGAAAAACTCAACAAAGGTGCTTTCAGAGGACATGGACATCCCAATCAGACAATAGTTTCAGCCGTCTGAAAGCTCTTTTATGAAAAGAACGATTTTTTGAGTGACGTCAGAGATGAATACTGTCTCCAAAGTTCGGAATTCGTCATTGTTTCCGATCTAGCCTTTTTGTCCAAAAAAGCTTGCTCAGTTACGCATTCAAAAATGTGGACCGTGCTGGATTGAAGTACGGTCCTATTCAGTGAGTAACCTGCCATGAGTACCTTTTGTATCCGGTAGGGGTCAAGAGAGGCGTTGAGGAAAACTCTGAGATACACCGCCCAACCCTACTTTCAACTCTTTTCTGCGTGCAGCGGCCTGTGGAGGATGTATGACATCTAATCCTTTTGGTGTGGCGGGAACCTGGTAGTAAGTAAGAATGCGTGAGCCAGGGGGAATGGGGCCAATTCAGGGGGGTGGGGGGTGTGTGAGCCACTTAACCTGTGGCAAAAGTTTGGGCCTTAGTGTCTGGTGTCTGGCCTTGTGAAGGAGACGCAGAGGAGCAAAAGGATTAGATGTCACAAGACCCCTGTGGACAGAGATGAGTGCTGTTGCAACGCATGTGTTGACCGTGGAGCAGCTTATCTACGAGGGAACACGTTAGAAACTGAACACGTATAAATAGCCATAGTTTTTCAAAGTGGACGAATTTTTAATTACAAAGAAGATTTGTACGTTCCCCGATGAGTACTTTCTGTTATTTGTCTAATTTGTTGAAAATAATGAAAAGATACTCTTTTCGGGTAATTATCGAGCAAAGTTCTTTTGAAGCGCGAGCTTTAACGATTTGTAATGAGGGACATAACTTCCATAAATGCAATAATTCAAAATTCATATGGCGTCATTAACTGGACTAGACTCACTTCACTCAACGGATGCTGAAATAACTTGCTTTGTTATGCTTGTTTATATGTGTTATTTCCATGTGTTTATTTCGAAAATGGCTCCGTTGAGGAAATCTGCAAAATAACGGGGTGAATTTCGCGAGTTTTCTCTTTTTTTCCAGGCGAACTGGTTCACCTCACCTTCCTCTCCTTCGAAAGTTGGGATTACTGTAGTCGGCACGAAGTAGTGCCTCAAAATGGCCCCTCCAACTACATACACGGCGCCGGAAACAATTTGCAATCGAAGTAGAACTTTAACGAACAACTTTATTGCAATATCGAGTAAACAATGCCGAATAAGAATCTCTCACAACATGGGGGCGTCATGACACAATCGAAATACACCACGATTATTGATCGAGACGTAGATCACGCCACCAAGTTTCGAAAATAAGAATAGAATACAACGACAGATCACATGGGCAAGATACAAAACACACCGAATGAAAGATGGAAGGGGATGGGATCATCAGTGGGAGAGAAATGACGAATGCACGAGACTTTACAATTACTAGTTGTGCTCTAATAAGGTTCTAAAAATGTGCAATGGATGTATGTATACGGCAGATAATGAAATAAAATAATGGATAACAAAAAGAGAGAATATATGGAGAGAAAATTGCAACACCCGGTACGCGCATATGACGCCAGAAAACAGGAAAATATGATTTTGACAAGGTCTCAATGGGAGTAATGTAAGCGAAAGCGCTATATAAGCACGCGGAAGAGTAAATTTCAAGAGTAATATTTATATTAATTATATGGAAGACGGTTTACGAGCCATCTACTCTGGAGAACTAAAGTGAAAGCGTTGTGATGAAAGTGATGATGTGTACGGAACAATTTGAAGCTGAATAGCAACTAAAAATTTTCATCAATATACATGCCTCGCTAGCCGGTGTACCTCAGATTCGGGCTTGACTGACTGTGGGAGGTCTGGGACTACTGGTAATGGATCTGCACGATAATCATAATGACTTTAGTTCCTGATGAGACAGAGGTACTCTTTCCATGGCAGCGTGTTGAAGGCAAAAAATTTGAAGGATATTTGGAAAACGTCATTCCACTGAGCACCAGCTTCTACCTGCAACTCACTAGGATACGGTAGAGATGATTAGAGATGATTATTTAGTGTAGGTTACCTTGTGAGAGGCTGAGCTTTGTGCTCAGTGGAATAACCCTCCAAACGTTGTCTATCATGAATAGTTGCTACAACTCATAAGTGCCGCTTTACAATTTGACCAGCTGGAGCACCGTATCAAATATTATATCAAAAAAACGAATTATTAATGCCGTAGGACGAGTGTCATCAATAGAACAAAAAGTGAGGAGGCCACTGTTGTTGATGACGTCATCTCTGTAAAATAACTTTACTGTTTAAGAGGTAACGGAAACATTTCCTCCCGAAAGCCCACTGACTACCACTACTGCTGGTATCAGATCTGATTTACCAGTACATATACTTACCACGATCTTCGGTTGGTAGTTGAACGAGCACGTTTTCTCGAGCGAATGAGCCCCATCCTAAGGCGTTACGAGCCTTCACCGTAACCTCATACGGTACTCCAGCTTGAAGGTACGGAAGCAGTGAAACACTGTGTTGCCACATATCATCGCCACTGTTGTCAGCTATAAAGAGGACCATTCGAAATGAATTTTGACCAATCCTCAAAACATCAATAATTTTCTAAAAATTTCCCAATTCTGAATTACTAGAATGGAAAATCAACTTAAAAAGTTGCCCACTTTTGCTTGCTCGAATGCTCTCGTATTTGTTCCAGTCGTCGGCTTTCTCGTGTCGATAGTAGATTCGATATTCGATCACGGGCTCGTAGGCTCGTACTGTCCACGAAAGATCGGATCCATCTAGTAGGACGGTTGGTGGACCAGGACGACCTTAAGCCAACAAGGTTAAGCTGGACTGTGAGATTGTAATGCTGAGGTGGCATATCAGTGCACAGAACACTGTCAAATGTCTCCTCGATTCAAAACCGTAACCCAAAATGTGGCGCAACCCAGAAAATACGCATTTTGTGATGGCCTTCGATTTTTCAATGCTCGTCGGATAAGAACCTTTTCGTGATATTTAGGAAACCTTCCCTGTAAATGAAAAAAATCAATAGTAATTCTAGAAAATAAATTTCACAGAGTTTTGTGACAGCTATTTATTCTCAATGAGATCATTTCCCCAACCCCCCCCCCTTTCCCCCTTCAGTTGCTCACGATAGCCACACGTTTCTATTGTGAATAGGTGTTGACATTAGGCGCGACATGTGCGTGCTAAATGCACGAACATGGCATGAAAAATTCTTTTGTATCTCCATAATGACCGTTTACACCTTGGGTGCGTGGTGCATTATTTATACTGGGTCTGACATGATGTTTAACAGATTTCAAATATGGAAAGGTACGAAATTGATCGCCGTTGGAACTTACCGCTCACGTGAATTACGGCGAATGCCGTGCCCAAATTGTTCGATATCCGGCACATGTAATCACCGAACGAGTCCTGAAAATCGTAATTTTCACTATTTAGCATTTATCATTACAAGTGTCATAATTACTGCATAACTAGGATTCAAATATCACCGCTATTATTGTACTCGTACCATTTTTTCAAACATCAAGGTAATAACTCTTTATAGAATATGGTTTCAGAAACCAGCTCGCTTATGCTAAAAAAACACCATGAGCGTATCGCAGACTATAGGCATTCGGGGTGAAACTCCAGTTCGGGGGGGCCACTCCATTGCTATCTTATCCGTAGTACTAGAGAGCAGTTCTTTGGGCTATCGAACACTACGGATAAGATAATAAGTGAACGACTCATTTCGAGCGTACTTTTGATAAGGACCGGTGGATGTCCTACATTCCACACTACCTGCCCACATCCCATCCACTTTTCTGCACAGGTGATCCACCCTGGAGCTCCTGCACCCTTAGCCCTTTGCGGAGGTGTCCTTTCTCCTGGTCCAGGACCGTTCCCTTGGGTCATGGCAGGCGGAAATGTGAAAACGTTTCAGGGTTTCTCACCCATTACACCAATATTTATCAGAAGTCTACTTTAAATGAGTCGATTACGTGTCGTGAGCCCTCTAATCCTTATCTTGAGTATTGGAGAAAAAATGGAGTGCCCCCCCCCCCGAACTGGAGTTTCACCGGCATTCGGCGCTGATCAGTCCTTTTTGGAACGCGCCAGGTATAGCGCTTCCATTCAAAATCGTATTGGTATTTGAATGCGAGTTGGCTTACACAATGACTTACGGGGCCTAGAGGTCAGCTTTATTCTGCTCGACACCAATTAATTTTGGCTGGAGGAGTAGAGAGCTTGGTTGCATTGAGCGACGTAGAACCCAGGGCTTGATCTATGAACCATGAGCGTAGTGAAGAAAAGGTTCAGGATAAGCGGCGCCGCTTGCCCTCCAAATTTCCGTCATTTACATTTCGCTTGACACTTCACATAAGTTACGAGTAATCAAAAACGTGCAAGCTCCTTAGTGAAGGAACGATAGAAGAGAGTTGAAATGAAGTAGTTACCTGAAGACACAAGCTATAGTTCATTGATGTGCATTACTGCGCTCGAAAATGAAAGCAAGAGTGATACTTGCTTGAACACGTGAACTAAGCAAATGAACTTGCTTAGAACCACGCTAAGCTGATGGCGTGGAAGCAGTTCGCGCAAGCACTGACGCCCTTCTCTCGACTGAGCCGCTCCTTGACCCCTCTCAATTTAACTATGCAGTTGGACTTGGGCTATTTTTAAAAAGCGTCGCGTCGCTAGCAGGAACCATCACCCATCTTAAGCTCAGTTTCATAAACACGATATCCCTGAGTTGGTAGCAGATTCCTATAGGAAGAGAAGTGCATTGCCTTCTACTTCTAGCAGCAGCATGAATTTCGGGAAAACACCTGTTCCAAGACAAAGATGACATTGAATGAAAGTCGCACGTATAGAGCATTCCCGAGCGATCGATAAACACTCATTTTTCTGTATTTTTGCATTGTAGCAGTCAACATTATACATACCTCGTTGATTCCGACCACTGTTAGAATAGCATTAGTGTGGTTGATACGACGTTGTGCATACTGAGCTGTATTGCGGAATCTCTCTTCGGAGAACTGAAAAGAACAAAGATGGAGGAACAGAAATGAAAATAGGTGGAAAAGTTACGAGAATTATTGGAAAAATTGTGGGCGCGAGGTGATCATGTATTTCTGAAGCTGGAAACACGGAACAGTTATAGGAACTTTTCTTCATCACGAATGAGAATAAACTGGCTCTCATGATGTTCTGTTCAGTCGGTTTTCTTTACTTCGTTATTTTGGACTCACTGACGAACTAGGCAGGCCAACAATTCGGAAAATTTCGATAAAAAAAGAGGGGCAAAACGAACGATTCTATTTCTCCGCGAATGTTTTTGTAAAGACAATTTTTTATTTTATAGGTTTGCTTTACATTTCTGGCAGGGCTAGGAATACCTATAATTGGTGGGTTGATTGCGACAGCCAACAAGGTACAATCGCTGGAGAGATGCCGCGCATAGGAGTTGCTTTGAACAGGGTAATGATTATTTCAGATCTTCCAATATTGTACTGCGTCAATTCAAGGAGATAATATGCTGAAAAAGCATCCTATGGAACTGAGTACAGAGCAAGATTTATGAAGTGTTCAGTGTCCCAGCTTCCTGGCTGTATTACGCAACCGATTAAGTTCTCTAAAACCTTAGAAGGGATTAACCGATCCCCTTCTCAGAAAAATCTCAGCGTGGGGACCATATAGGTGATTTTTGGCTGTGTTTCAAATTTACGATTTTCAAAGGAGCTCGTGATAGTGGATATAGGAAACATTTTTTGGGATTGAACAAATTCTTCTCACAACACACGCTGCAAAAATGCTGAAAATGGAAGGAAAAGTGGTGTAGAAATTGTAGTTCCAGAAGTTGTATATTTTTGCCGATCCCCTCGACAGCAGTCGAGCAGGATTTTCGGGTGCGGGTTGAAGTGTATCAAGTGATAGTCGGTTATCGATATGATCATCATCGATCGTTGCGGAGGAAGGGGATGGTTTGTAAGGGTAGCGCCCTACAGGAACAGGAAGAAGGTGCCGATCAATTTCAAATTTTCCATGGCGTGAATATTTACCTGGCAACTTCTCCCCCGTTACTGAAACATTTTTAAGGACTCTCAACTAGGGTGGTCCAAAGGCACGCTTGGAAAAATTAAACAAAAAAACTTACGTTAATTTTATATCCGTTGAAGAACCATTCGGCTTGAGGTGAGGGCGTGCCATCGTATGCGCAGGAAATGTTCACATCGGCGTTCTTCTTGACCGGTACGAAAGAATGTTCGGTTTTCACCCAGGGAGCTTCTGGAATAGCAGAGGGTCAACATGGTGGTACCCACAACCAGCTGACGTGCTCCCTTTCAGTGCACCCATGTACCGATTTAAACCGCTACTCGGATACATCATCTAAGTTAGTGCAAATCTCAGCTAGCTGCTATGCGTGCGATACGAATAGGCTGAAACATAAGAAAAACTGGCAATTTGGGTTAACTCAAAATAAAGAGAAAAAGAGGGAAAACTCAGGAAAACACTTGCTAAACTACGCTAATTCAAATATTTGTTGAACGAACGGGTTCAAAATGTTCACCCCGGCAATGGTGGATTGGGTCAGCTAGGCTCATGAAGTCAATTTTTCAAAGTAATTGTGTCATTATAAGCCGCCCACTGTGAGTAGCACAAGAGAGTTTTTAGATAATTCATTTTTGTATCGCAATAATAAGGTTTGGAGGAAGTGGTGTAGCGGCAAGTGGCGCTGCTTACCACACGCCCGCGGGTTCAAATCCTGGGCTGTACGTTTTCTAGGTGTAGTAGGCCTTCCATTCCTACGGAGCTGTGTAATTCATGCCAGACTTGTTTGTAGGATAAGAGCACTGGAGTTCTTCTTAGGTTAGTTCCCAAATTTGAAGCCGAATCTTATTTGAAAGGCTTCTACGATTCTGAATGATGGTGGAATGCGTGGCGTATTCCAAAAGGGATCGATCAAAGCTGAAATGTTTTACTCCTCTTTCTTTTTTTTAGTGAAGAGTCATTAAGTCATCTTCACCCCACGTTTCCTCAAACCTCTTAATTATCGTGAGCTAGGATGCCCTTCACTTCTAGTCATTGAACAGCCGAAAACAGAGAAAGCTGGACTGTGGAAGACCGACTAGCGCTCCAACCAGTAACTCTTGGCCGAAAGGGAGTTGTTTTCGGTGAGTAATGTGTAGATCTGCACCCATACCGTATACGGGCTTGTCTGTTATGGTTCTTGAACGGAATGCGGGCTACTGTAGCTGCTCCATTACTAAACAAATCGCAGTAAATCACAACATGGTTCTTCAGTTTCACTGTCCGAAATGTGCGCTCTTATTTACAAACACGGGTCTGGAACAATACGGATTGTGTTGGAACTAAATATTTACGTTGAGTGTATCAGGCGAAATACATTTTTTAGATCCCCTTGTGTAGGGTCCAACTTCTCCCTGTGTTCCTGATAACACTCAATTTGTCCCTACATTTTTTAGGACATCCAAGGAGTTACTGAGAGAACATGTACTTCCAAAAATTGCGGGGCAGTTTCGACAGTGCAAATTAGAGAAAGGATGCTCTCGACTCGACAGATCTTTTTGAGGTTATCGTCACCGTCGTCTAAGGCGTAGGCAATTAACCCCTACGACGGTGGCTGGAGAAGGTCAACCTTGGGCTCTCAACGCCCATCGCGCTGGGTTTATTTCAGCTATTTATGGATGATGCAGCTGCATGTGTGATCGGCATTGTTTCCGCTAGGGCAACAACGTTGTCCTCGACGTTTTCAATTCATATAACCATCACCCAACGCTCCTCTTCCCCCCCCCCCTCACCCTCCGCCTTCGCAACTACCAATTGCCGCGCGATAGGCGCAACGACAACATGACAGTGACGCGACAGCAGCTGGCTGAGATCGTGTCCATTGGTGTACCACCCGTCTTCGCGCCAAAACCCCATATTTACTCAACCACAACAATGCTCGTAATTGTCACTCTACGATCAGCGATAATGAGTAGACAGAATGAGCTCAGAAGAGGATTAGCTGATGTAAGTTATGAAGCATTAGGTTGAAGGTTAAGCAAGGTGAAATAAAGAGGAGGAACAGCACAACACATGCACAAATACGACATCATGCTTGAACTCACCGTGATTCGCCGCATCCTCACGCTCTGCAATAAACCGTTCAAATCAACAGAAACACGTCAATAGAAAACACATGCTCGATTTCGCAAGAAAACGGACTCTTCAATGAACATGAGGGCAAATTTTCTCTAGGGGGAAGCTTTAAGCAGCTAGGGTTGTTTCTGCAATCTGTATATAGCACTTGAGGGCCCAGAAATCAAAAGCGCTAAATTAGCTTGATTTAGTAAAGTCGATTAAAATATTGCGGATCAACGTGTTTTGTGATGTCTCGTCATACCTTGGTCTTGGTTCATCACATAACTGATGACCCACTCATAATTTGATGAGTAGTAAACGTGTTGATTTCCGAATCCGAAAGGTTTGCGTAGTTTTTTCGAAGGTGAAATAAGGTGGTCAAAACGAAGATACGATCCTCGTCCGTGCGGCTTCGTGGTGCACCATGTGCATCACGTGGTCCACAATGGGTTAAAGGAAATGGTGACAACCTTAGAATTGAGGCCTTTCACCTTACCAGGAAAGTCTTTCAGGACATGGAGCGCTTACTCAAAACGCTTTTTCGCATGTCATAGAGACACCGGTAGGGAGCATCAATTGCAAACCTTTTTTTTTCTGAGCGGCTCTGGAAATGCCGAAAAACGTGTGGAAACCAGGGTTTGTGGTTCGATCCCCACTAAAGACATTGTTGGATTTCTCAGATCTTCCACTTTCTTGTGATCATATTTGTCTAAACTTATTCGGTGAACAAAAAGCTCCCAATACGCAACTAGCCAAGAAAAAACACTGTAGAGTTTATTAAAAAATGTAAGTGTTTCACTTTCTAAGAAGAGTTTTCTACCCTTTTTCTGGCAATCCTAGGACCGCTCGGAAAAAAAAAGATTATCGGTTTTATGCTTCACGCACGTAGCCCTGTACCATGGGATAACCCGTTTTTGAAAAGCGCTTCAATAGACTAATAGACTTAATAGACTTTCCTGGTTAGCTGACAGGACTGGATTTCTTAGTCTTTATCACATCTGAAGCGCTGCCAAAAATGGTACAAATTTTGTTTTTACTGAAATTCTGGCTTTGCTGACCTTAAAACTGCACGAGCGCTTTTTCAAACCGCAGAACCGCTTGCGAGATTCGCTGGTTACAAAACTATTATGCAGGAGTACTGCGTTAGTACTTTTCTTATAATGCCTCCAAATACGATCCTAGCTCTCAGTGCATATTGAAAACTGGTCCATGTATGATCAGTTCCGATTTTTTGCTCCGAATTCCGTTCTTTGCAGCCTGCTGTCGAAAATTTGCAGATGGTAACGTCCTTGGATATATGTATTCAAAGATTTTTCGCGCTCGCTTTTCGGGACACTTATGAAACACATTCCCAGATTTCAGGCTCAACTATTGGATATTCCAATTTCTCTTTTTATTCTTGTAAAAAGTCTTTTGAAATTTTTGTTTCGGTTTTCGATTTACGAAGCTCGTCTACACACGTCGTGAAAAGCAGCTTTAGCTAGTTTATCACACGTGTAATGTGAAACTAAATGGCTACAGATTTGTACTAATGACTGATTGTAACTTAAATTGTTAATGAGTAAGCTATTCATCACACGTTGTAAACATGACTATTTTTTTTAATGAGGTGTAATTTTTGTGAAGAAAGAACTGCACTCGTTGTGTGTGTGTGTTGCACAGCAAAAAAATGGCACTCAAAAAGAAACAACTGGGGTGAAACATTTCTAACATGCGTAACTGGACAAAGGGTAGAAGCAATCGCTAATGAGAAGACATCTGAATGGTGTGTCAATAGGTTCGCTTACCGTTTACTTGTATTTTCAACGTGCCAGAATCACTGCCGGCAGCATTGTTCGCTGTGCATTCATATTCGCCCGAATGCGATTTTTTGGCTTTCGAAATCACCAGATGCTGACCACGAATTGAGATATCCGATGGCATTTTTCCGTCCTAAATTCAAATTGGCCTCATTGCGGTCATTAAGTATGAGAATCGATGTCGGACTTGGTGCCACCACCACCGTGAGAGTCGGCGACGATGCGGCGCCATACGACACCCTAGGGCGCCAACCGCTCACGCCAATTATACGCTAATAAGGGTGATTGGCCTAATCTCTGGGTCGGGATTATCATCCGGACCATGAGAAATGATTGGCCGTGATTAGCCGGCTGACTCATTACGATGGCGCCGTACAAGTAAAAACACACCAGTTGCTGTTGATCGTGGAATGAGGTGTGGAAATGAGTTAATGCTCACCTTACGAGACCATTTGATTGTCGGAGTTGGATTACCCTTGGCCAAGCATCGCACAACCACCTGCTCGTCGCCAACTGACAACAGGTATTCCGGCTCATCCGGTGAAATGACGACAGTCGGTGGAGCTGAACATGTACGATAATAAATCATCTTGTCATCTTGTCCTATGCGCTCATGTACTTGTCCCTGTGACGTTTTTCCCTTGAGATGAAACATGGGGGCCTGAGCTTTACTACATGTTTTGGTGGGTTAGATTGCCATACGTTCTGGACACTATTAGGGTTTTTCGCGGCGTACGCATCGAACGGCTGACGGTTTTTTGTTGAACTGTACTTCAGTGGGCGCTGTGGTAACGCGGGATCGCTTTACGAGCACCATGGCGATGGCAAAGCTTCTCAACAAGGAAAAAACCACGACATATGGTCGAGTGAAACACGAGAAATAGGCTCGAAGGAGAAGCCGCAAAAAGCCTACACGACTCATGAGACGATCTTACGGCATCAGTTGCAGAGTGAGCAGGGCCTTGCCCCTCATCCTGATTGCAAGAAAATTTTCAAAAATGCCTGAAAAGGTTTCCCGACGTTCAGAATAGGCGTGAAGGGCGTGCAGGGCGTTTCGGAGATGCAAATGAGGTTCGACGTTAAATTTAACGTCGCGTAATTAAACGGCCATCGTATCACTCGATGAGTGCATATTGCGGTGGCGGCGCCGTTCACTGATCGAAAGCTGGCAATAACGAGCGCATGTTCGGTTCCTCTGCATGATGTATAGCCATGGAACCGAAAAGATAACAAGCAGATGATCCCGAATTCCAAGGATTCACTGCTGACATCGACGATCGGGCTGACGCTCGGCTGCAATGACCGGCCGATGCCGATTGCGTAATGATTAATGAGTTATAAGCGGCCACATTGATGAGGGTCTTAGATAAGTAAATCATGCGATCCAGAACGATATCACATGCATACACAACTGAACGACTTATTTATACGAGTACAAGGGGGGGGGGCAAAAAGGGTTTCCTCTGTCGACGATTAAAGCTGAATTGACCCCATTTTGATACCATTTTGATGAGCTCAACCTTTATGCTTCCAAAACTTGAAGTGCGACTTCAGATCTACTCATCTCATTTCATTCAGGAGCCTTGTACATGGCTGAATCGAGTTCAACGGGTTCCTTGACAGATCGTGATATATTCCCTTCAAAAAACGAGAAAGCGTCGGGTGCAGACCATACACCACAAGTGACGACGGCCTCCACAAAATGTAAATGTTTTCTGCCAATGAAATGATTAGCCTGTTGCAGTTGTATTCTATCAGTTGTCACTAATTACAACTATCATTTACCAAAAATCAGCTATCACTATGAACCACTACTAACCAGATTTACTTGGAGGCCGTCGTCACTTGTGGTGTATGGTCTGCACCCGACGCTCTTCTCGTTTTTTGAAAAGGAATGTACGTACGATGCCGTCTGGGATGCCGTTCGGCACGGTTCTTGCACAGCTACTGAGCTGTCCATCAGTGAATTGTTTGAGAGTTCAGGTAGCAGCTTCAGGCTAGATGGTTACGGTAGACCTCTCAAACTCGACAACGTGAGGGCAGCGCAAAAGGGCTTGCTTCTACTTAAGGAGGGGCAGTTCGCTGATATTTTGCAGCGAGACTTCCATCTACAGCGGCACGAAAGTCTACTGATGTGCGCCATTAGTAAGTCTATTTTTTGCTCCCCCCCCCACCCATACACTCCATCCCTGCCCCTCTAGATGAGCTGAATGAGGTAAAAGAAGCGCTTACAGTGGACGATTATTTTGTAGACGATTTCCTGTTCCGGTTCCGATACAGCACATACATAGTCACTCATGTCCATGGGTTCCACGTCAAGAATTGTGAGCGTTGAATTCTGGAAACCAATTCAGGATTAACTCAATCATCCAATACTGCTCATATTGCAAACGCCTGTCACTCACCGATCCGTCTTTGATGACCTGCATACGTTCGTCCTCGGCAAGGTTCTCCTCGTCGATGAAGAGAGGGCTCTCCTTCCGTCGCCAGATGATCGACTCCGAGCCGAGATCCTGTACGTAACATGGCAACTCCAACTGCTCACCCTCATTCACCTGCAAGTAAGTGCGACAATCAATGAGCCGTGAAGAGTTCAGGTTGAATTTAGTCACCTACCGTAATCGTTCTGCCCTTTGTGACAATTTTCTGGCTCTGTGCCAGGTGTATGAGAGCGATTGTAGTCAGCAACCACCTCATTCTATAAGACGTTGCTGTTCGTTTGTCCCGTGCGTTCGCAACCTGTGAATTGACTTGTAGATGCTAGATGAGCCAACACATCTCATAACAACATCAGAAGGATCAATAGCGGTGTTGGCGATAGGCCAAGTGTACGCGAAGGATTTCAGAATTGTCGCGCGGTAATCCTCTATTTGACGCGCGTTAAAGATGCGTATTCGGGTCAATAAACAATAAGAATACAGAAGATGAACCGACATTCGATCACAGAATTCTCACAATGAGGTGATTCGAGCCGGATGAGATGAAATGTGCACAATTTTTCTTCGTAATTTTTCGGCAACTCTCTTAAATCTCACCGACTACAATGCAACGTTGGCGATAGCCCTCGTACGAAACAAAAAAGTGCATCTCGCGATAAGAATGATGACCCCCAGGGAAATGTTCTCGACCATTCGATTTTCAAGCTCACTGGATCGACGCAATTTTTTTCTGAATTTGAACAGGAAATTGAACTTCAAAAGTAGGGTTCAGTAGAAATATTTCACCAGTTAACCCTGCGACGGAGCGGGATTAACGCTAGGGAAAAGGAGTAGAAGGAGAGCAAGCTTAATAATGAACTTCCCACCAGGAATGTGCTACCGAAATAACGACTCAGCCCTTTGAACCTAAAGGTGGTAGATGTGACAAAATAAGGAGTCATTAAGGCACGGATAGTGAAAGCTGCGAAGAACGAGGCAGTAAGCAGATGAAAAGAGTACGGTATAAAATAATTTAGCCAAAAAACTGGTGAAAATATGAGGCGATAAGGGGCGAAAATATGAAGGAATTGCAATATATAGATAAGTTTGATGCACAGCAGAGTGTCCTACGAAAGCGGTAAGCTAATAGGTCTGCAAAGTAATGATGTCATAATAGACAGAGAGCTGGAGCTGAAGCTCCCTACAAGCTTCACGATACAGTACGTATGAGACATGGGAAAAAATTAAGGCTTCACAGTACATTACAGAGAAATGTTCTGTAAAATTGCGCGAAAAAACCGGTCCACTTCAATAAAAGAAAGAGGCATTTTTTGGAAGGGCTGATGAGTTTAATCGACTCTCGACTCAGGGCAAATGGAAAAGAGCGCGTTAAGTGACTTTGAGGGGCATCTGAGTGGTAGAAAAGGTCAGTGACAGTAGTCGAAAGTGTTTCATGAAATTGTAATTATATCAAGGGCGGCGCTACCGGTGAGCAAATACAAGCATCAAATGGACACACAACGTTATCTTGAGTCCGTCTGGTTTTATCGTTCTGAAGAGCACCCGAACACTAGCCGAGCTTTTGGCGCTGGTCGTAGTCCGGGGCGGAGGTTCGTAGTCATCTAGGGGAGATGTGTGGTTTATGGACCGTGTCAGTGATGCGCATATGCTACTGCATGATCCTCACACACCCACCCGTCTCGTATGTGGGGCCGTTTATACGATGGTCTCGAATTTCGTCGGACAAACGCCAGTCGAGCAAAAAAACAGCTGGACTGAAAGCAAAGATCGGCGCTTTTGGAAGTGCTGAATTTTGTGCAGAAGAAAGCCGATCAGTTGGAGAGTTGTTGAGGGAAATGATGCTGCCCGTATGACGAAAGACGAGCACTGCCGGCGTCTAAAGGTGGCAGTTTAGAGGTTTTTCTATTGTTACATAGCGGCTGAGAAAGCATGTGCTTCAGTCAGCATTTTGCAGCCATTACGCAGTGTCCTCTGCTTTCCTTCTCTCTGACTCGAGCCGAACCGAGGGCCAGCCCTGTCGCACCGACCTAAAAAATTCGCTCGTCACAGCCCCTAGTTGAGAAAAAACCTGGCAGATGCGTATGTCTATGATGATTAGCATTGACAGTATCGAATAATTGAGGAAGGGTTGATCGTTCGGAATGAATCACGAGCTCGCGTCATCTCCGACTCCGAACCACATTCAAATGTCAATCAGCTGATTGTCGCTGCAAGTTGATGAAGCCTTTGCAGACGACCAAAAGCTCTTCTAGTTGGTATGCTGCCCAACTATTAGTATGGGTAAGTGAATAAGAAGAGGTTGAAAAGTTTGATTGACGGCGAAAGAGTGATGATTCCGGAAGAGCGATGGCGTCCGATACGAGCAACTGCGCCCCCCCCCCCTCTGGTGCTGCTCGCCCTCCGATCAGCTCCATCTCGTCCAGAGTTAATCGAGGCAAAAACAGAAAGAGCGAGTAGTGCGGGAATCACCCCGAATTTCCTGCATAACGTTGCAGAATCGAATAAGCAATAGACTGGTCGTTGCGCTGATTGCGAAAACAAGCGGATATAGGAGCATGACCTTAGCATCGTAATTGGCGACGAGCTGGAGGAGCTCGTCGTCGCTTGAGGACCTGAGCATGGCATCATGAAAGATTCATTTCGTAGCCGTCCGCGAAAAGAGATTCTCACCTAAGTTGTACCGTCACGAACATATTGGAAGACTTTGGGGGGTACATATGCTAGTAGAGAATATAGAATCAAGTAGATGAAAGGTTACTTGAGGTTTAGCAGCAAAAACAGTGAAAGTGATGAGAATTTAGAGCTCATTTCGTGGATTCTATTGGCAATACTGGATGGAGCAGCCCCAAGCATCTCATGACAAAAGCGTTTCGTTAAATGATTTACTTTTAATGAAGCTAGCTGTTGTTTCAACAAGAGTTTCGTGTTGAGAGTCAGAGTGAGAGAAAACAGAGGATGAGAGAGAGGCGAGCGGACGCTTCAGCAAAACCTCGCAACCACCGAAAAGGGCAGTATGGGTACGATCGAGCGCATATGTATTTGTGAAAGTTCACATCATCTTCCAATGTTGGTTCGTGGTTATGGTCTGGCGGTAGCGAGGCCAATACCAGGAGATCCTTACTAGTACATTTATGGTACTTAGAGGTAAATAATGTCAAGCATATAGGGCAAAATGATGTTGGGGTGACCTCGAAATCGTCGTCACCGTGCGGCTCGTTCTCCATCTCATGCCGCCCCTCATTCTCGAAAGCGCAAATAAAACGCTCTTCAGTGGCTCGATCAGCGTCGCCGTAGACGATGTGTCGGGGCTACAAGTGGTATTCAGCGATGGTGCTAGTGGACGCCGACACATAGCGCGTAGCGAGGTGGGCCCACGAAAGTGGTGATGGTGATGGTCGAAGAAGTGAGATGCGAGTCGGTATTTGGCCAGCCATGACGGCGACCACCGTTTACGATCAACCCCGATTGCCACTTACAATGTCTACTATGGTCAATAGGAGACACGTAATAAGTGCAGGCCACTCCACGGTAAATACACTGAAATCATCGCCCTATCGCCAACCTCTGGAATTCTGTGGGAATTCCCGTGTGAACTCCATCAAATGGGCCCCTTTTTATACGAACAGAATGATGAATTCTCATCAGAGGGACGTAGAACGGTATGTGAACGAACGAACGAGTCGAGAGGGTTATGACTTTACATTTACTATAAGAAAGGAGCCAGATTTAACTTGTTATGCGATAGAGAACGCATTCATTAGAGGTACTGTAGTTTTTTAGATTGACTGCACCATATGGTTCATTCTCGTGAGTCATGATAGAGTTACACTTTAGAAGAGAGTGAAGCTTCGTTTTAAAGAGCTTTCAAGCGACTGAAGATGAAACGAAGCCGCGCTGGAATACGTTGCTACGAGCCAAGGGGTGAAAAAGTAACGGGTTGAAATGAAAGGGATGATTGACGATTGAATTTAAAGGAATCACCAGAGCTTGCATTTTCAGAGTACTGCAAAAATGTGCGCCCTTATGCCTATGTGCTGAAAGGCGCTAAGAGGAATGAATAATTTTGAAAAAGAATCGAACAGCTAACCAAATGGTAAGTAGGGGTTTTGAAAGCTCTTACTGTGTTTGCCTATTGGCAATTTCTAGGGGGTTTTAGCGAGAAAGAAGAAATAAAAAACAAGTGTGAAAATGTTTGTCTTCAAAAAAGAAATCTGGACTTTCAAAACACAGGAACAAAGAAAATCAGGAGCATAATAGTAGTAGTTTGAAATACCAAGGTAGGATCGAGCAGGGTAATGAGAGCGATGAGCGTTCACACACTTGATGTACTGGTAAAGTGCTGTTACTGCTGGTCAGAACCGCGTTCCGAGAGCAGCGCCGACGTGGGCGTGGTCAACGGAAGAGGTGGAGGTGTAGGAGGGGCTGCAGGAGGAGGACGAGGAACAGGCAGAGGGTAGGAGGAGACAAATTAGCTGTTCACCTGCCAGTGCAATCTCGTAGATGTCTGAGAACGAAAAATTGATAAAGGATGACGTCATTTTCTTCGAACACTGGCTACGGTCTCCCTCAAATGTGGAAAACCAAGGGTCATAGGAAACTATCCTCTCAAGGGGCCGTAGCCTTCTTTGAGCCTAAATATGACTTAGCAACAATGCCAGGAGAAAAGGCTGCACTCTGCCGTCTTACTGTAGCCGTCCTACTTGATATGTGAGCGTGAGGTGTGGGCAGGTTGTGGAAGCGAATAACCAAGTGCGTCGAGCTTTACGTGAAATTCTATCGCTATTTGTGGGGCTGTGGTCGACGTGATGGACGGCGCCCGCGCCAGCCGATGAGGGCTAATAGAGCCGTTCTGAACTTACCCGTTTTTCACGCCTACCTGAACTTGAAATAATTCTGTTTACGGGAGAGTGCAAAGCTTATCGATCACCTTTCAGAAAGAGGAAATCCGTGCTGGGAGTGATATGGCATGAGAACTTGCGTGCAGAGAATGGAATATGACCGATGACGATGAGGCCTTATCAAGATGAAGCAGCTGACCTGAGGCAGCTCACTGAGGGCAGACAGAAGCTGACTGACGCAACTGATGACAATGACGCTCCAGCAGAGCAATTATATAAGAGCCAAAATGTTTCTAAGGGTTAATAGTCATCATATGAATAAGCGATGTTAGCTGTACTACACTGTGATAAGCGAACAATATTATGATTATTTGCCACTGTGAGTCATCCCCATGATAGCTGTAAAATGCATGAGTAAACA